AGAGGTCTTAAAAGATGAGGAGAAGTGAACTCACTGACAAAACTTGAGCAAAAGTTAGGAAGCAAGAGAGGATACAGTCATTTCAAAAACTGAGCAGTTTGGTGTTAGTGATTTTAGGGTGTGAACTACGCAGTGGTGAGAGATATGGTTGGAGAAGGTGGTACGAGCTGATTGTGAAGGGTCTTGGGCTTACCCCTTACGATGACATGGTTGCTGTTCTTAGTACCATTGAGTTGTTTCCGACTCATAGGGTTACCGAAGAGCGGCTAGTGAGTTTGAACCACCGACCTTGCAGTTCAAGCCAACCTTGTGGTCCACAGCAGGACTCCTGAGCTGAGGTAAATCACTCTAAAGGGGAGTGACTGTCAGCTCCTCAGGAAGGTCCTCAGGGTGTGGAGGGAGAGGCTGCAGGAATCAGGAGAATTGGTAAGTGGCTGCAGCTGTGATGGGTGGGGGACCCGAGAACTTCAGGCCAGCTGGATAGGGAAGCTTCAAGGATGGGTTTTTGGCTTGGAGTTGGATGAAAAATGATACCATTTTCTGAGATGATGGTCACAGAGGGAAGAAGAGCTCCTTGTTAGTCAGCCTATGAGGGAGAATGATCCAGGGCCAGGATTTTACAGAGCTTGTGGGATCAGGTTTCACTCCTCAGGGCCTCCTGAGGGGTTACCACAAGCTCCTAAGAGTTCCTCCTTTGTCTTTGAGCCTGATGTCCCCCTCCCCACTAAGGTGCAAATAAAGGGAGGGCAGTGGACAGCCCTTTGAGCAGGTCCCAGTATCAAAAGAACATTCCCAGAAACTTCAGCTGAGGGGCACTCATCTGTGGGTCCAGACCTAGGACACCAGCAAGTCCTTCTTGATGAACCCAGCATCTTCTCTGACCAAACTCAAATCCCCCTAGAGGAGGAAACTCTATCCATAGCTTGTTCAACAGTTGTGTGCAGTAAGTAAGCCGTGCCAGGTGGACTCTGGGAACACAGGCAGGGTGATATCCAAGGACTGGAACAACATGGGTTCCACTTCCCCAGAATGAGCTCACATCAGCCTGCAGGTCTGAACAGCAGGTCCAGAGGCCCCTGCTATGACAGTCCAATCGTAGGTGACTCCCAGGGAGAAGGGGGGAAGAGGGGCAGTGTACCCAGGATGCTTTTTACCAAACGGCCCTAATACATTCACTACCTAAGTTGGGAGGTCAGAGGTCTCTGCCAACACCCTGAGGAGAGGAAGGGGAAAGGGCTTCCTCTCCTTCCAAGGGACACACTGGGGCATGGTGTTCCTGCAGGATCTCCAGATCCCTGCTCAGGTATGCATTCTGTGGAGGCACCTGGGAAGCTTGAGTCTAGAGTCAGCTCCTGCCAGCTTCCTCCGTCTTAAACTGACCCCTAGGGAGCGTCTGCAACACAACAGGGCCATGAGGGCTGATCCCTGGGCTTCCCCACCCTAGGAACTGTGATTTTGTTCCTCCAAAAGCCAAAGTCTGGAGCTGCACATTACAGGAGCCTGAACCACGAAGCAGATTCAGTTTCGTCAGGAGGACCTGGGGCCTCCAGAGCTTTATGAAGCCTAGTTGCTCACAGGAGCCCACAGCTTTGTTGGGGTGTCCAAGGTCTGATCTTTGAACTGTCCTTCCCCAACCTTCGTAGTCAGTGGTAAGAAATAGAGCCAAGTCAGTCAAGTTGCCCTACTGGATGCTAATGAACAGGGCTGCCCACTGTGTGCACTGACCAATCACCACACTAGACTGAAAAGTCCTGAGAGAAAGTGAGGGAATGCTCTGGGGTGGGTGAAATAAATTAATATGTTTCTGTGCTTATAAAATAATCTCTGGGTTTTATATTCAGGAAAAAAATATACTGTGTGGCGCTGTAGGATAAGCACTGGACAGCGAACCACAAGGTCAGCAATTTAAACCCACCAGCTGCTCCGTGGCAATGTGGGTTAATGCACTGGACTGCAAGGTCGGTTTGAGCCACAAGGTCAGCGGTTCAAGCTTACCAGCCACTCCTCAGAAACCCAATGCAGGGTCGCATACATCGAAAACAACTCCACAGCGCTTAATAACAACAACAACAAGCTGCTCTGTAGATACCCTATACAGGGTCACTATGAGTCAGACCCGACTTGATGGCATTTGACAACAACAAAAAAGAGACCAACTCTTCTATGCCTATTTTTCACCATCGCTTTATGCAACATTTTTTCTGGAAGGGCAATGGCATAGTGTGGGGTCTATGAAAGCAGCTAACGGGTTGCAGGGAACACCAACCACTGGTGGTTAAGCCCTGAGTGAGGCCCAGGCTCTACTCTGTCTCTGACCTCTTCAGACACAAGGCCTTATTTTGACATCATCTTGAACCACCTTTATCCAAGAGTAAAACAGGAGATGCAAATTGCTGACTCAGCACCCCTTCTTATGCTAACCTCCAAGACAGCACAAGAATGAAAGAAATGTCATAGATTAAAGGTCTGTTTCCTCATTTGATTTTCACAACAAATCCTCGAGATTGATGTAGCAAGCTGTACTGGTTTGAATAGTGTGCCCCTAAAATTCATGTCCACCCAGAACCTCAGAATGTATCCTTATTTAGAAATGAAGTCTTTGCAAATTGCAATTAGTTAAGATGAAGTCAGACTGAACTAGAAACCCACTCCCATCGTGCTTACTTCCATCCATAGCAACCCTACATAGGACATGATAGAATCTGCTCTTAAGGGTTGTAAGACTGTAAATCTTTACAGGGGCAGATTGCCTCATTTTTCTCCCATGGAATGGCTTGTGGATTTGAACCACCAACCGAGGAGAACACAGACACACAGGGAACATACCATGTGAAGATGGAGGCATTGGCTGGAGGGATACATTCATAATGCCAGGATTACCAGGACACACCAGAAGCTAGGAGAGGACAAGGCAGGATTCTCCTCTAGAGCCTTCTGAGGGAGTACAGCGCTGCTGACCCTGTCGGATCTCTAGCCTCCAGAACTGTGGGAGAGCAAGTATCTGTTGTTGTAAGTCTCCCAGTTTATGTTAATTTGTTATGACAGCCTTATGAAATGAACGCATAAGCTCTGCTTTATGACTGAGGAAAATGAGGCTCAGAGAGGCTGAGAGTAACTTATCCAAGGTTGCATAATTCTTCAGAGTAGAGTCTAAATACAGTTCTTTCTGTGTGCCTCCAAGGCCCACCTCCACACTCTGCCTCTAAGGAGGGCTCAATCAAAAAAACTGGGGGACTCAGTGTTTGTCCCACACTAAAGGTTCTCTGACTGGATCTGGTCTCAAAAGTTGGTCCCTAACACATATTCATCCCACATGCAATGACCCCACCACCCAGGCAAGTTGACGCGCTTACTGATGGCCTTGGCAGTGCCTGGAGCGGGCTCTCCTCCCTCCTCCCTTTCATTTTTGCTCTCACTGTGAGCACAGCACCATGACATGTGGCCACCTGACTCTGACCTTGGAGGTCCTGTCCCTGCAGTTCAGCATTAAGGGTGCTCAGCACAGAATCATCATCCCCTAATCCAGCTCAAAGAACCCAACCCTAACCCTACCACCCAGCCCAGATCTCAAAGGCATATATGCTGGCCAAAGCAACCTAAAGGGTTCTGGGCCTCTTTCAGCTATAGAAGTTCTCATGTGTTTCTGGTCCAAATGAGGCACCAACCAGGCGGAGAAGAGGTTTTGGAGCTGACCTGGATGAACTAGCTCTGGTGTCTCAGTCCTGAAGGGACCTTGGAAACGTCAATACAGGCATATTTAAAAAAAAAAAAAAAAGATTTCCTAATCTTTATTTCTATTTAAAACAGTTATCTAAGAGTACTTAGTCTTCATTTCACAGTAAATGCTTTAAGTTGATTATTTCTCTATGTGCGTATTATTCCAAATGCATCCCTGACCATATACATTTTGTTTTTTATTGTGTTAAAAATATATATAACAAAACAATTGCCATTTCAACATTTTTACATGTATTATTCAGTAACATTAATTATGTTCATCAATTTGAATAACCATCATTACTACTCAATTCCAGAAATTTCCATCACCCTTAGCAGAAACTTGTTTGTTGTTGTTGTTGTTAAGTGCCATCGAGTCGAATCTGACCCATAGCAACCCTGTATAGGATTTCCAAGGAGCAGCTGGTGAGCCTGAACTGCCAACCTTGTGGTTCAAACCAGTTTTGCAGTCTAGTGCATTAACCCACAGCACCACATCAGGACTCCTAACAGAAACTGAGTGCACAAAAACTTTGGTCTTTATGCATTTGCCTATTTCTAGATCTTTCATATAAATGAAACCATATAATGCTTTTCTTTTTATATCAGACTGATTTCACACAGAATGATGTTTTGGAGGTGTACTCCTGTTGTAGAAACGTCATGTCTCTTCATGACTAACAGTACATGTTTTCTTCAGTGGTGTTTGTCTGCAGGTATGAAGCTGCTAGTGTTTGCCAAAATCATCCAAAGTTTTAGAATAAACCGACTATTGGTGAGACAACACTGGGATTCCAGCGAAAAGGGGAACTTGTCAGCCTTCTCTAGAACTCAGCTTCTCCTCAGTCCCATGAGGGAGGAGTAAAGATGCTCTGGGATGACCCTCCCTCCCCAGCTCCGACACTCTCTGCTGTGACTCTGTGAGTGAGAAAGTGCAAAACCAACACTGGTTCAGAAAACATGGATTTGTTTGGACTGAGTCTTCTCCTCCTCTTCCGTCTCTAAACCCTTTCCCACAAAGACACCCACTCATTGAAAGTGAATGATCTGTTGATTTTTAAAGAGTGATTTCTTGGTTCCAGTTCCAAAAACTATTTCTTGACTTCAAAGCCATAGGGTCCTAAAAGGGATGCTCTGGGTCCTCCCAGATTCAGCAAAGGTGAAGCAAATGAAAGAAGGTGATGAAGAGGGAGGCAGAGCTGCACAGACTTTCCCCAACCCTTTAGCAGCAAAGAGCTGAGGCTGGCTGGCTGGGCTCATGAGAGACCCACCTTTCACCTTACCTGCTCCACACAGTCTGGGATCTCAGGCTCACAGGGCAGTGTCCCTGCACTTTCCACCGACAGTACATCCTTCAACAGCTCCTCACACCCTGTGGACAGACAGGCAGACAATGAAGGGTCAGAACATCAGCCTAGCACATAGCTTTCCCTCTGACTATGGTTGTCATGGGTCTTAGATCGGAAGGGCTGTGGGGAGAGCAGTCGATCCATTTGAAGGCAGGAGGGACTGAGCACCCTGCTATGAAGAACCTGGTTTGGGCACTGTAGAGGGGGCTGAGACTTAGACCCCTTCTTCCACGGAGTTAGCCCCAGCAGGGAACACAACATAGAGGGCAAGTTGGCACTCAGGAAGCAAGGAGGGCTTCTTAGAAGAAGGGATATAATACAAGACTGCCCAGTCTGACTCAATGGGGCTCCAAACACAAACACTGCTCTCAGGGTGAGTCTTTCACCATCTTAGCCTTCAAACTGCATAGCATCTAGGATAGGGCCACCCTCAGGATGGCTCGACTGCCTGTTGACTCAGGTACTTCTCTCACAGATGACATTCCTGAGCAAACACCCCAAAGTTCGAATGGTCAAAGGAGGTACCATCTACTGAACACCTACCTTGGAGCTGGGTGCATGGAAAGTGCACAGACAAGTCCACTCAGAAAACCTTTGCAGGTGGTCCCGACAAACCGCACTTACTACATCCATTTGGGCTTTTTTTTTTTACATTTTAACATTACTTTGGACATATTGTCAGGAGGGACCAGTCGCTGGAGAAGGATATCACATTTGGTAAGGATGGAGGGTCAGGGAAAAAGAGGAAGACCCCCAGTGAGATGGATTGACAAAGTGGCAGCATCAATGGGCTCAAGCGTGGCAACGATAGTGTGAGGTTGGCCCAGGATCGGGCAGTGTTTCGTTCTGCTGTGCATAAGGTCACAATGAGTCGGTACTGACTTGATGGCACCTAACAACAACACCAACATTAGTACCATGGACTGCATAGAACACTGCAGCTGGGAATCTGCTGGAAGTACCTCTCTATGAGATCCAGTGTCATGACTGACTAGTCCATGGATGGTCTGCATTAAAGCTGGTGTCGGCGTAGGGAATTGTGATGCCAGCTCAACTGTGAACCATTCCGCCTTCATTGCTGACACCACTGATGCCAACTTCATTGTAGACCAGGCCAATGGTGTGATCTTATTGAGTGTTTCGTACCATAAAAAGCATCCGTTGATCATTGGAAGCGGAATCGTTCAAGTTTTCTACCTGTAACACCTATACGGCTTATGTTGGTGTTGTTCTTAAGTACCATCGAGTCTGTTCCGACTCATAGCAACCCTGTATAGGGTTTCTGAGAAGCAACTGGTGGGCCTGAACTGTGGTTCTCAGTCCAGTGCTGATTCACAGCGCCACCCAGGAGTCCAATAATAAGATGTCTTGCCATCGAAAGGTTATATATAATGTTTCTAAATCCCAAAGACAAATATAGGTCAGATCTGTAAACAGACTGGTAATAAAAGTCAATAATAATGAAAACTAAAAAAAAAAAGTATTTAATTTACATCAGAACCAACTAACAACAGAGACATGGGGACTCCTGGTTACTGGGACCTGCTTGTGCCATACTTAGCCCTCGCCTCCCTTTCCTTTGTCCCGTGCTTCTCCTTACATAATTCCTGCTTCCTTCCCACCCTCTCAGGACCTTGAGACACTCCAAAGAGAAGGCTTCAGTCTGAGCCACACAAAACTGGACAGTGTGGTTCCCTTCATGGACAACTCAAGGGCCTACGCTCTCCTAGTAGTAAATCGTGTTTTCTCTTTTGGTTGTGTTTTAGCCACTTGGCTAGTGATCTAAACAGTAGCTTAGTAATCAGATTGACCATATTCTGCCTCCTGTCTCCCACACAACTGACCTTTTATAAGGGGGAGTGGGGCAGGGAGAGAAGGAAAGATTAGGAGGAATTTTAGGAAAAGATAAGAAAGGGGAAATCAATAAAGAAAACTAAAAAGGGAGGAAGACAGGGTGACCAACTTATCCTAGTTTGCCTGGGACTGCCCTGGTTTTAACACAAGAAGTCCCACATCCCAGGAAATCCCTCAGTTCTGGGAACACTGTATGGTCGGTCACCCTAGAGGCAGATGCAGAAGGAGGGCAGGAAAGAGGAAAAGGCAGAAGAAAGAAAGCAAAGACAGTGTTGCTCTCCATCAGGGACAGACACTGGGGAAGGCAGAGGAGCACTGTGCCCTGAATCCTGTGGGTCCAAGCATCCCTGGCCCCAGGGTTGGGGGACTCTGTGGCCAACGTTCAGAGTGACCTCCACAGCTAGAACATCTGCGGGAGCCCAAGATCCCTCCTGTAGCCCCCCTGGGTAACTGGGGACAGAACTCACATCCAGAGCCCACCCTGGTACCCCCCATGGGGAGAGATCAGTTGGACAGGATCTGAGAGAGCCCCTAGCTGCACGGCGCCCAGGAGACCACACCTTTCATGGCGAACACTCCCCGGCAAAAGTCCTTGAAGTTGATTCTCCCCAGGTCATTGGGATCCAAATATTTCACAAGTTTTTCCACCTGTGGGAAAAAAGGAGGGAGAGGTGTGAAGGACCAAAGATATCCCAGAAGGCTCAATGAGGAGAGGCTGGGATGAAGGGTAGGATCCTCAGTCAAGGCAGCCCATCTCTTCCCTCCACTTAGTGGTCAGCACCTAGCTCCCAAGCTAGGGAGCACTTTATTCAATAGACTTTGAGTGAGGAAATGCGAAACCAACACTGGTTTAGAAAACATTGATTTGTTTGGACTGAGTCTTCTCCTCCTCTTCCGTCTCCAAACCCTTTCCCACAAAGACACCCCCTCATTAATAGTGAATGATCTGTTGATTTTTATAGAGTGGTTTCTTCACACAAAAATAATACAAAGTCTTTACAGGAGATCTAGAAAAGAAAATGAAACAAAACCCCGCCATTCCCTGCTTCTCCTTTCTTTAAAGACAATAATTGTATAGCACTTGTGAAAATTATTTAAAAATATTTAAAATGACAAATTAAATAAGAGAATAAGGCAAAACCAACTGTGGTCGGGATCATGGTTACATGTGCAGAATGGTACAGGAAGGAGAGGGCACTAGGGATACTTCTGGGGTACTGATGATATGCTGTCCCTGGGTGGTGCAAACAGTCTATTAGGTTAACAGTTAGATCCTACCCTGAGGTGCTGTGGAAGAAAGGCCTGGCAATTAAAGTCAATTATTGAAAATCCTATGAAGACTTGACGGCACTTCACAACAACAACAACAAAGAAGCACAGTTCTACTCCCATACATAAGGGGTTACCATAAGTTGGAATCAACTCCAGGG